GCCTGCTCCTGCGTGTGTGTGTGTGTGTGTGTGTGTGTGCGCGCGCTCCCCGGGGGTCTAGTCGCGTTTTACATTTGGGGGAGAGAGGCGGCCGGGGGTTAGGGAGTCTGATGGAAGTCCCAGCGAGTGAGGACACTGAGAGTAGACCCCGTCTGTCCGACACCGAGCCGATGCCTTACGTACCAGGCTCAGCCTGATCCATCCTGCTGGGCGCCTCACGGAAACGTGCCATCTTCAGACCCGTGCTTTCAGGAGCTGGGGTGACGGGGGAGAAGACAGCCCTGCCCTAGAGGAACTTGTGCTCGTAAAGCCGGGGCGGGGAGGTTAGGAGAGCAGAGCCTTCGTAGTGTAAGTAACGGAAATGGAGATCGTAGGCGGTGGTCCAGGGAGGCCGCTCTGGGGCGAGGTTGCACGGAGCCGAGCAGAGGCGGGAGGAAGAGAGGAGCAGGCCCAAGAAATGCTGGGGGAGACCAGGAAGTCAGGTCTCCCTTTGGGGGTTGGAGTTGGATTGTAATCGCAGCGTGTGCTGTTGAAGGATTTTACGCGATGCAATATGTGTCCTGTAGATGCTTGTGCTCCCTGAGGTGTGAACTGCCATACGAAAGGGAGGCTTTCTATTGCACTGAGATCAAGTTGGCTTTGTTTACTAGTCCACTGAGGGTCTACTTGAAACAATACGTGTTACCTCCCCCTATACTGACATTGTCAGATTATTTACTTAGAAAAGGACACCCAGAAAAAAAGGGAATAGAATAATATGGGAAGTCTGCTAGAAAGAGGAATGAAGACCAAAAATTCTCGATTTCAATTGTGTTGGGATCTCCCTTGACAGACTTAATTTACTCTCCTGGTTTTAGGTACCCCAGATATATTGAAGGCACTTCGATCTAAACGTCTAGCCCTAACCGGTTTGGCTCAGTAGATAGAGCGTCCGCCTGTGGACTCAAGGGTCCCAGGTTCGATTCCAGTCAAGGGCATGTACCTTGGTTGCGGGCACATCCCCAGTAGGGGGTGTGCAGGAGGCAGCTGATCGATGTTTCTATCTGTTTCCATTGCTCTCTGTAAAAAATCGATAAAAAAAATTTTTTTTTAAGATCTAAACGTGTAGCCAAGACCTTCGCTACTTTCAGCTCAGCTGTGCCCCACTAACTGGGCCTCTCCACCTGGATGTCCCACAGGCACCTCGGACTCAGAATGCCTGAAAGGGACTCATTTTCTCCCCCCAAAAACCTGTTCTCTTCTGCTGCCCATCTGCCACCTGTTCTTAGTTTGTTCCCACCGTCCACTCAGACTCGAGCTGGATTCATGGCATTGTCCTGGACTTCTCTCTTCCTCACCCTCTCCAACCCCCACCCCCACATCCAGTATCCTTCAGTCATACCTGTTTCATCTCCTGAATTACTCTTTTCTGGCCCCTATCTTTATCTCATCGGGGCTTCTGTACTGGCTTATTTCCTAACTGATTTCCTTGACTCCTCTTGTGCCCCCCTTGAGCCCATCCTCCATAAACCAGCTCAGTCATCTTCCTAAAACAGCTCCGATCTCCTCACCACCTTCCTGGAATTCCAGGCCTGCAAATCACCTCTCCTCCCCTTTTCTTTCCGCCTAATCCCCTACATGGCTGCCTCCTGCGCTAACAGCAAACCATTCCTGGGTGCTGGTGTGTGTACCTGCCCTATGTCTCACCTCCGCCTTTGCTTCTCTTGTGCACGCCGAAAAGATTCCCACTCTCGATCCACTCCCGGTATTCAGTGTCACTCTTCTTATCTCACCCCCTCTCTAGGATTCTGAAATACCCAGTTTGTCTCTATTGTAGTACTTGGCTACATTGCTTCCTAATTATCTGTTAATGTGTCACTCCTACCTCAAAACACTGTAAGCGTCCATCTGTTTTCTTAGCTGGAGTGGGAGCACATCCAGGCGTAGAAGGGCCTGGCTGTATACAAAAACAGAAGAAAGGCCAGATGCAGTGCATGTGGGCTGAGACAGCCAGAAAGAACCTGTTCCTCAAACCCCTTTGGTGAGCAGGTTCAGGATCTGAGATGCTGAGGCAGGGGCATGAGGCCAGTGGTTTTACACCAACCAGTGCCCCAGGGTGTTGTCTGGTTAGCACCCATCAGACCTAAAGTTACTTGTCTGGTACCTCTTGTTCATTGCTGTATCCACATTGCAAGAGAATAGTGGCCCTTCAGAAAACTAACTGCAGAGCGAATGTCATAGAGGTGATGATGGGACAGAATAAGAATAAGCATGGTCTCTGCCACAGCTGTGCTCCATCAAAATAGAAACACAAGTTTGGAAATAACTGGGCCTGACATTTGAATCTCATTGACAGGCTGAAATTTTTTTGTGTCTTGTCTTGGGCACAGTAAAAAAAATACGATATTTTACTTTTTTTTTAATAAAAATATTTTTTGAATTCTCAGATATGTTTAATATATTTTTATTTATTTCAGAGAGGAAGGGAGAGGTAGAGACAGATAAAAACATCAATGATAAGAGAGAATCATTGATTGGCTGCCTCCTGCACGCCCCACAACTGGGGATTGAGCCCACAACCCAGGCATATGCCCTGACCCGGAATCGAACCATGACCTCCTGGTTCATAGGTCGATGCTCAACCACTGAGCCATGCCAGCCAGGCACATAGCTTTGTGATTTTAAAAACAAATTAGAAGTCTCTGTACCGCTTAAAGCAACTAAATGTTGCCTGAGTGCTCTATCAGTTCTTCAACTTTAATTTGCATTCTTTTTTATATTTATTTTTGTGGCACATAAGATAACAGTACATGTTACAGTTGGTGGGTGTTAGATTTGTGGCAGTACTGGGTGAAATAATTGTTTTTTCATACCTATAATGTTGGGGGTGGGGGTCTCTCAACCCAATATGGTACTGAATAGGAGCAGTGCCTGTTCTGACAGGTGTGGGTTCGAGTATAACACTTCACCCCCACCTGAAACAGCTTCTGTGCTCACTCGTGGTGAGAGAGGCTGTTGGATTTTCTCATTTCAAAGCTTGGTATTTCCTACGTCCACCTCTCATTTTCACTTCCCCTCAGTTGATTGGAATGAACTAAGCCTATATTGTCAGAAACTTAGTTGTATTAAGTTTAAGAGACTCAACCCCTGGAAGAAAACGCAGGTCAAGAAGCAGTTGTGGAAGGAAACTGCTTTGAATATGCACTTCACCTTCAGAGTTTTGAAAGAAATTAAATAATGAATATTTCTCTGTTTTGCTTTAAATGCTTCAAACATTGGTACCTTGTTTTTATCAGCTAAATTCTTGGGTGAAAACAAGTGGTCTTTATATTTATATTGAAAATAGATATTTTAAACAGGAGAAGAGCTTCAACAGCCTATGGGTAGAGAATGTGAGACAATCATAATACCCACAAATTGAACAGTGCTTTGCTCTTACAAAATGCTTCTGGTACTTGCTCTTAATTTCGGCCTGAATCATAAACATTACATATATTATAGGCAAGGAAACAGGCATTAGCAGCAGTTCTGTAACATTGCACTGCTGGTAGTAAATAGCAAGCTGAGACCTGGCCAAGGGTTTGTTTCTACTGTACTTTGTTTCTTCATCTAGGATGAAACAGTCAAAATTCGCTTTCTTGTCCAGCTCCCTTTCCTGCCCACTGTCTAGGATCTGCTAATCACAGTTACTTGGTCGAAATCTGTTTTCAATTACAGAAGCATCTGGCATATCATCTTTTACCTTCACCCATTACAGGTATGGGTTGTCCACTGAGACAGATTATCACTTAAAGAGTTAGACATTTTGTTGCACTTGAAGAACTGTCTGGAGATATACACTGTGCTATTTTTAAATGAAAGGGGCCAGAATACAGAATATGTAGAACACGTGATGCTATTTAGGTCACACACAACTGCATTTCTGTATCACACGTAAGTAAACGCATAGGAAAGATACATATCAGCAGATAACAATAATCCCCTGGGAGGAGACTGGGGTTTGGGCCGCAGTGATCAAAGCACTTTTGATTGTATAACTTGATATAGTATATGAAATTCTTGCCATGAAAATGTGTTCTTATGGTTAGGACTCTCTCAATTGCAATTGGAGAAAACATCCAAGCCACCCTAGTTTTAAGGGCAAACTGAAACACAGCTTCATGCAGAGCTCAACTAAAGACACCAGAACCCAGTTTTTCTCTGTTGCAAATTCTGCCTACCCCCAGATTGGTTTCCTTCTCAGACATACTCCACAACATGTGTCAAGCTGGCAGAGCACAGGTCCAAACTGTGTCTTCTCTTCAAGTCTACTGAGAGAGAACTGGAGATTTTCCTAAAGCCTGAGCGAGGGCCTGTCTATCTGTCGGGGGGAGGGGGAGGTCCAATTCTTGAACAAGCCCCGTGGCCAAGGGAATTCATGCTGATTTGGCTGGCATATGCTCAACTCACTGATTTGCCTCCATATGGATAAGTCCAACCCAGACCACTGCCTCCTTCCACAGGCCCTGCTTTGATAGTAAACAGCCCTGGAGGGGGAAAGGGTGTAAGTGCTCAGCAAAAATGCCCAGTACGCCGAAACCGGTTTGGCTCAGTGGATAGAGCGTCAGCCTGTGGACCGAAGGGTCCCAGGTTCAATTCTGGTCAAGGGCATGTACCTGGGTTGTGGGCACATCCCCAGTAGGGGGTGTGCAGGAGGCAGCCAATCAATGTTTCTCTCTCATCGATGTTTCTATCTCTCTTTTCCTTTGCCTTCTTCTCTCTCA